GCTTTGGAGACCAGGCTGGCCTCGAACTCACAGAGATCCGCCTGCCTCTGCCTCCCGAGTGCTGGGATTAAAGGCGTGCGCCACCACCGCCCGGCTTTGTTTTCTTACTCTTATGTTCATAAAAGCATTCACAGTCTGCATTTGATACATGCTGTCGAATTTGTTGAATGGATTCATTAAATGATATTTGTGAAGCTGAGGCAGAAGGCTCACAGGGCCAAAGTGAGTTCCAGTACTGCTACCTAATGAGACCCTTTGTCTAAAAGCAAAACACAGTAACAACGCAAAGCCACCCAAGGATCTGACTCTCCCACGCCGAGAGTAACCATGAAGGCGGGGTTTCTCATGGCTTGCTTTCCACTTACCATCCATAGGTACCAAACTGGAACAGCGAGATTCTCGCTAAACAGAAGCCTCTGATCGCCAAACCTTCTGCAAAGCTCCTGTTTGTCAACAGACTAAAGGGCAAGAAGTACAAAAGCAGCTCCACCACTAAAGTTCTCCAGGACGCCAGCAACTCTATGGACCACCGCGGTCCAGACCCTCCGAAGGTATCAGTCAGAGTTATAGCCTAAGTGCCCAGTTGTAATTCTTAGTTTTCCTGACTCACACCAGACTGGGATAAACGGGTAAAATATGTACTAGTCAAAGAATGTGTCTCTCGCAGTCTTCTTTAGTTCTTAGCTGGGACCTGCTCTGGTCATAGTAAATTGCTCCATTGTTTTGGACAGCGATTATTACTATTTTAAGGGACTGTTGCAAAAGTACTATTGTACTGTTGTTAGTAAGACAAACACATGTGAAGTCAGAACAAACTGATTCAGATATTCGGGGTTTTTGTTTTGTTTTGTTTTTTGAGACAGGGTTTCTGTAGTTTTGGTGTCTGTCCTGGATCTCACTCTGTAGGCCAGGCTGGACTTGAACTCGCAGAGATCCACCTGCCTCTGCCTCCTGAGTGCTGCCATTAAAAGCATGCACCACCACCGCCCGGCTTTCTTTTTTAATGAATTAGTTTTATAGCACTAGATGTGGTGGAACAGAAGCCCATGGAACCCACCTCTACCTTTCAGTCCATTGTCCTATAAACAAACCTTTAGAACTGTATTTATCAGTATAAAGCATCTCCAAAAGTGTCCGTTCATTTTTAAAAGAGCCAATACAGATGCACGAGACTTTAGCTGACTTACTTACTCCCTTCTTAGACCTGTAACATTTTGTGTGTACTGTGATTTTGATGTTAGTGTAATACTTAGGAAAATCAATTGCTTGCATTAGACATTACATGCACCATTCAGGTTTGGAGCACTCTGAATAAAAGGCCCCTTTCTTCCCTCAAACACTTAATTGAAGTTTTTTTCCAGGTCTTCAATCCTTAATAAAAGGACTTTGGAGGGGGAGGGACGGTTTCCTGAGGGTTTATGCATTGGATCCCTAGCACTGGTGTTCCCATATGGGAAAAAACCTTGGAGATTGTTACGTTAGGAAAATATCTATGCTTTTCCAGTTAGTTTACAAAAACTAATTTACTTAAATTCTGTTGTGGAGTCATTGAGCCTGGGTGCCTCTGTGTTGCTAATACAGCAGCAGGGTGACATTTCATTCTGACAAGACCACATGCATACAGGCAGTCTACACTGTATCACATAGCCTAAGCATGCAGTGGGTTCCTACACTCACCTAGGTCTGTATTTCTCAGGTGTATCCCCACCACCAATTGACATGACTGCACATCTCTAGCATTCCTCTGGAGACTGAGGTGTTTTTTTCTTGCAGTGGAGATTAAATCTAGGGCCTCAAACAAACTGTGTAATCCACCACTGAGCTACAGCTACATCTCCAGAACTTCTGCAGAGTGTTATTTGGGACACTCACCAAGTTAGCCAGACTTGGCCTTGAACTTTGTGCTCTTCCTGCCTCAGTTTGTAAGAAGCTAGGATCATAGTTGTGATGTCCAAGCCAAGCTTTAGATATATTACTTTGGCCTAAGAAATACAGGAATTAAAAGTGATTCTCGTGGGGTCAGTATGGGGCATTTTATTACCAACATTGCCACTGAATTCTTTTTGTTTTTAATCTTTCCCTTTTGCATTTGATTACATCATGACTTGTTCACAGATGACCTCAGGATAAAGGAGAAATCATGAAGCATATTACATTTTTTTGTTTTAGAAAATCAGTGCAGACACTGTTGGAGATGAAGGATTCTTTGACTTACTGAGGCGGTTTCAAAGCAACAGGATGGACGACCAGAGGTGCTCCTTACAAGAACACTGTCGCACAGCATCCACGGCAGCTTCCTCTACCACCCCCAAGATGACGAAAGGTAAGCCATCTTGTTTCTCTAAGGCATAGCCAAGGCTGGCTTTGAATTCCTGATCCTCCTGCTTCCCTCCCAAGTGCGGGGATCACAGATGACCATCATGCATGCTTTTCCTGTTTTAATAGTTGTCTTTGGTACTGTCCTTTCAGTAAAAGATCCCATAATCCTAGCACATGGCACTGAGACAGGAGTATTAAAGTGAATTCAAAGCCAGCAGGGCTGTTAGATAGGGAAACCCCGACTCAAGAGAAAAAGGCCACTGCTAAGCGGTAGAGCATTTGTCTAGCAAATAGTGGGTCCTTCATCTGCAGCACCACACACATACAAGGTAGTTATTTATATATTACATACAAATAATAAGGCATACATTTCATCTGAAATTTAGAAGTCTAAAATACATTACTTATATTGTTGTATTTCTCTACTAAAAGATGGCTTCTACCATAGACTAAGATTGGCCACTCTCAACCAGGTGGTGGTGGTGTATACCTTTGGTCCCAGCACTTGGGAGGCAGAGGAAGGCAACTCTCTGAGTTGGAGGCCAGCCTGATTTACAGAGTAAATTTCAGGACAGCCAGGGCTACAAATATAGAAACCATGTCTGGGGGTGGGGGGGGTGGGGGAATTGGCCGGTCTTTTAAGTCTTTAGTTCACTAAATGATTCCCATCCAGACATGGGAGGAAACAAAACAAGAGACATTAGATGAAACTATATAAGGAAAGACCACCACCATTTGTTCACCTTCTGAAATCCAGCCCCATACCTGTTATTTTTGGGTGAGGACTACATTTAAAAAAGGGAGAGATCTGAGTACATCTGAAGCACTTGGGAACCCACCCTTCCCACCCTGCTGGGACAGGTCACAGGAGCGGTGGTGCCCTGCAGGAGAGCAGGGTGGAGAAGAGCAGCGTGCGCACAGGTGTCTCAGCACGTAACAGTCCCGTGTTGTTCCTTTCCCACCCGTCCACAGCGCCGTCGGTCTCTGTGGTGTCCCCCAACACAGACGAGTTTTTAGATCTTCTTGCCAGCTCACAGAGCCGCCGTCTGGATGACCAGAGGGCCAGTTTCAGTAATTTGCCAGGGCTCCGTCTGACAAAAGCCAACAATCAGTCTGTACTTGAGCGCCTGATGACAAATGACAAGAAGGAGCCTGACGAAGACTTCTTCGACATCCTTGTGAAGTGTCAGGTGAGTGTCCACACACGTTCATCTGTAGACGAGCTCAGGCTGCTGTGGCAGTGTTCAAACCCTTGTGAAGGGCTCGACCATTGAACACCACTGATGTTACAGGTACAATTTGAGATATCAAGGATGCTCTTGCTTTTGCAGGGTCCTGCATTTTAGTGGGAAGCTAGAGGGCAAGTGTGTATGTACACTGTGCCAGAGGCAGGCAGTGGTCCTTGCTGTGAAGAAGGGTAAAGGATGAAGGGCAGCGGGTGACCAGGATGGATAGTGACTGGGGGAACATCTGTTTTGTGTACCGTCAGTTAGGAAAAACCCTTCTGGATTGCCATTTTAGACTATTTGTGCAGAGAGCTTCAGAAGTAGGCATGAAAGTAGATTTCAAAAGTGTAATCTAGTGATTCTAGTTTGTTGGGCCCTGGCCAAGGTTATTCTAGAAATGTACACAAAGCCTGTAGCGGCTGGGCAGTTATTACCGACAGCTCACACCTGGAGAGCTGCCCTTGCATTTCAGTGTCTGATGGCTTGTGACCAACTGTGATGGAATGACAGACTTGAGGCCCGTTTCTACCCAATACTGTATATTCTCATCCACCAAGTCTGGAAAAGGCCACAAGAAATGCTTACAGATGGAGCTTGTGGCTGACAGACACGACAGCTTGGCACTGTCCCCCCGTCATTGTTTTCATTTCTCTCCGTCTTTAGGGGTCCAGATTAGACGATCAAAGATGTGCTCCACCACCTGCTGCCACAAAAGGGCCAACCGTCCCCGATGAAGACTTTTTTAGCCTCATTTTACGCTCTCAAGCTAAAAGAATGGATGAACAAAGAGTTCTTTTGCAGAGAGATCCAAACAGGGACACTGAGTTTGGACTAAAGGAACTTTTGCAAAATAATGCTTTGTTGGAATTTAGGCATTCAGGAAAGTAACTAGCAAAGCACTAGACGCTGTGGTATTTCCTACTAAAGACGACTAGTTCCCTTCGGAAGACTGCAGGGAAACTCAACCTTTTTCCTGAGGAGGCAACTGTACAGCACTGGAGGTACCATATCTTTAGGGTAGAATTGCTGAGGTGCTCAGGAACTGACATTCTTGTAGACGTTTGTTTCAGGGCACAATGTCCTGTTGGTGCTCCAGCAAACTTACTTATTAGATTCCTTGACTAGCATTTGTAAACTAGGAATTTAAATGAACCTTACATTAGAATTCAGTCCTCTTACTGAGGTCATTTTTTTAAGGATCTAATTGACAATGACTTTTTTACACTTACCCTTGAATATAGTGGATTGCATTGTTTATTGAAAATAATGTAAATGTCCTATGTAAAGAAGATGAAAAATAGTCAGAAAGTCATAAAATTCTAGTTTCTTTAAGAAAACTATATTCAATATATTTTTAGGCAGAGCCAGTGGGGGAAATAAGAAATAAACTACTTTTAGCATGCTTTGGGCTATTTGTCTCTTTATATAATACTGCTATATAGACTTACTGTTGGGAAAACCAGAAAAGCGTGTGGTTTGGTTAAAAATGCAAACTGTATAAGCAGAGAACACAAGAAAAGTCACATGAGCTCGCAGGCACGGCCCTCAGCCATCCTTAGACCTTGCCTCATCCAATCTACTAACAGGCCTTTATAAGGTAGTGCTTTTTTGACAGATACTTTTTCTTATAAGAAAATTCATTTAAGAAAGCAAAGACTACATACCAGATCAAAATAATGTAAAAATAAGTGTTTATTTTGTGTTCACAGTGGTTCTTAAGACCCTGTAAGCATTCAACATTTATTCCATTTTAAAAAGTGCTTTTAACAGCTACCTACCCTGTTCTTAGTTTCTTAAAAGCCAGTTACAATATGCTTTAACCCCAGTGACAAACCCTTGCTAGTCAAGTGGGACACGCCTTCTCTCTTTCCTGCAGTACACTGGCCTGGACATGTCCCCCTGCTTTAGTCAAGTCTTCCTGAACTGCTGTAACCACTCAACAGCATGCCGCTTTGCTAGCTGTCAAAGGAGACTCCATTCCCAAATGGGGATCTGTAAGGAAAATACAAAGATGAGGTTGTAAAGGTTTTTTTTTTTTTTTAGACTGTAAATATTTTTAAGTATTCATTTTTGGATTAAAAACAATCAGTAGTGCTAACAGTACTGCCTTTCCTCTCAGGAACATCTGTTACAGGAGGTATTTCTCTTTAGACTCATACCAGACCTCAAAGGACAGTTCCCACTTTGGGAGTGCATTTACCAGTTAGGGTGAATGGGTCCAGTCCAGAGATAACTGCTTTTATGCACAGATGTTCAAAGTCTAAAGCTACATGCATCCTTTCATCCATTGGGTACATGTCTGCTACAGGACTGTCTTAATGCAAAATCCTTTTGTTTTGGAAGGGAGAATTTTTACCTTCCTGAAGAAATACTAAATAAGTAATGCTGACATAATAAAATTAGTTTTTTAGATACCCAAGTATGAAAAATGGGGGAATAGCATACATTTGTATGTAAAAAAAATCAAAGTCAACTGCTCTGAATGTCCTTGCGATAATTTCAAGACTTACTTGAGTGGTATCGTTGTTTGGAAAGCAGCTGAATAAAATGTGCAGTGTGGACATGGTTACAACAAAGGACACCCCAGTGTCCATAAAAGAAGCCACAGCTAGATTCCTGTCATTTCTAGAGTCTCTTGTACTTACAGCTTTCTCAACAGTTTCTAGCTGAAATTCAAACATTGTAAATGACAATACCAACTCCTTTATGTCCCTTTAAAAAAACCAATAGTTATGCTATAAAAGACTGATAACTAGGGACTTGTACAAAAATATATAATATGCTTTTTAAGGTTTAAAATGGAGAATGCATCTTAAAATCACAAAATGTTGATTTAAAAAATGATTGACAATCTATCCACAGGTAATACATCGTTCCCTATCTACAGCTCTCTGAAAACCATAATTGCATTTGGCCAAGACATTATGGTTCACCATAATAAAAACTGACTAGCATCAATTGCTAGGTTCTGAACATGGGAACTGGGTCTTTATAAAACCAGCACCTCATGGTAGAGAATGAAGCCATTGTCAGAGTCACCGGTAAAGTGTGAAACTGAAATACTGATAGAACCAGACCATCCTCAGGTTGTCCTAGTGAGACCTAACGTAAAATGTGTGACAAGGAAGCCTGGTAACCAGCAGGTCCCATTGTTCTGCAGGTGGCCTACCTGAACATGGATCACATGGATCACATGGATCGACACTCTGGGGCTGAGGCAGTTGCCAGCCTGCATTAAAAACCCTTTGCAATGGAAACACTGAATCTAAATCAAAATCAACAACTCTGAGTAACTAGGTTTCACAGGCCCTTCCCCCAGCTAACAGACGCTTTGTTAACAAAAACACACTGTGATTAAGGCGACTGCGTGACAGTGATGATCGCCATAGCATTCATATGAAAACGTCCAAAACCCTAAAACCTAAAATTAGGAGATACATCTTAATAGCTAAGAGATTCTACTGGTCTGTAAAATTATTAAAGTTGGCAGCTTTGTAGTAAGTTTCAACGTATTTTTAGGGAAGGATGAAGAGTTAATACTTTACAGACTTCAAAGATGACTTCATGTTTCTTAGCCACACGGGCTGCTGACAGGATCAGTCCCGCATGCTGCAGCTCCTGGGCTGAGTGTGGCACCTCCCTGTGGGCTGCATGCAGAGTCTAGCTTCAGCGGGGCCTTCTCCGCTGTGGGCAAGCCTTCCGCAGTCCCTGCAACTTGGCTGGAGACAGCCTCGGCAGACTGGCTGTGTTCTGTTGAGGTGCTTTCTCCTGGGAGTCCACTGGTCTCTTTGAGGTTGGTATTCACGATGGACGATTTATGCTTTAAAATACAGAGTTGTACTTTAACTATTTAATAAAATAGGAAGGTTTCATTGTCAATTCTTACCCCAATCTACTGCAGTGTGCTCCAACATTTTAAAATCCTGGTTCTAGAGCTGCATCGTAATTACAGCACTAAGCCTCACAGAACTGCGAATGGAGGAATGCAATACTTAAGGTACTGTAGGTGGTCTACTGACCCTGCTTAGGAGAGGCCAAGGAGTGGCTACCAGTGATGCTGCCTCTTTCTGCCTGGTGAGAACAATCATCTCATAAATATTTAAGTTTTAAGTTATAGAATATAGAAGGAGAAAAACACAAAGACTGCTCCCATAGGAACCCACACTTCAGCGTGGGAATGAATCAGACCGGGTACAAGAGTATTACATCTGAAGTACAGGCTACATGAAGAACTCGTCATCTTGCAGGTAAAAGTCCAGTCCTGCCAACCAAGCTATTGCTTTCTTGAACATTGCAGAATCGATAGGGATTCTGGGAAGAGACAGGGAAAGCAGAGCTTCTAATCCCTGCCCACCCGCTCTCCAGGTGGGGCCATCAGAGCTCCGCAGGCAGTCCACTAGCACTCTTAGGCCCTCGGGGAGGCCTTCTCTCTACCTTGTCAAAAGCAGAAGTGTCAGTCAGACTCACTGGCTGGCTTCCTGTTTGTTTTCACAGGAAATACCTACCACCTGTTGTAATGAATACGGATAAATCGTATTTAACATAAAAGGTAAACCTCACTTTCTGAGGCCGCCAGACCGGTGACTGAAGTGAGAGAGAATAAAATAACTCATCATCCACTGGTGACTTAATGACGGAGGGTAAAGAATAAACACACATCTGTAAGAAGCTCTTGGGCCCAGAGTGAACAGGCAGCGGAATAAACAAACGGTTGCTGACTTACGCTGGGTACCACTTGTGGATGCTCTGGCGCCTCTGTGTCAGGTAAGTCAAATGCCCGGAGCACTTCGGGGCTCTTGTTGCCAGTGTGAAATCTCCTATCAACGTCTCTCTGTCTCAACACATCTCTTTTACACACATGCGTTTTGTCATAGGGGCCTTGCTCGATGGAGCCAGCTGGGCCCCTGTAAGAGAAGTCTGCATCACCTGCTCCACCCTGGAGTCTATAGTCAGGCTCCTTCAGCCGGCGTCTGCCATCTGGCTCAAGGGCCCGGGGAGCTTCTCTTTCAGGACCACCCAAGTGTCTCAGCATGGGGAATGACCTTCCAGCACCATAGCAGAAGCTCTGTAAGGAAAAAGACATCCTGAGGATTTCGTAACTGACAGAGAATGAAGCAGGAGCTATTTATTCAGGATTTAACAAAACCGCCTTAGTACTGTGGACATAAAATGTTAACTTCTTTAGACTAATAGAGGCCAAAGCAACCAATGAAATGTACTAAATAACTCAATATTAAGTAAACATTTCAATCAGCTGGACACACTTTGAATACATAACAAGATTATTCTTAGACCTAGAAATTTAAATCAGAGAGTTCTAGAAATTCAAATTTCAAAGCCTGATCATTGCTCATGTTTCTATTCATACTCATACAGGGCAAATGATGAAGATTATTAACCCCCGACTTTCATAATCAATCACACACCAAGGCAAAACCCAAAAGAACAATTCAGTCAGTGCACACAGCATTGTAAACTCCAAATCCCCGGGGTCTTCATTTTTGATTCAAACAGCAAGTGCTTTGGGAAGGCCATGGCCATCAACAACAGGATAATGAACCAACTGTGGGAGACCACGAGCAGTATTCTTAGTAAATATCTCTTCTTGGACCACCCCCTAAACTGCTTTTCAGTACCCACACCCACTCCTCCACACCCCCCTTCTGTTCTGTTCTGCAAACTCAGACTGGAATAAAAGCTCATTTCTCTCCAGCGGAATCAATTGACCAACTTCCCGAGTGTTCAAGTTAAAGTTAAAAAGAAATTATTCTAAATCATTGCTATGGTGCCTACGAACCACAAGAACTACTGATTAGAGGAATCTATAAAGTCTTAACTCATTAAAAATCACCTTATACCTCTGAGCACAGTATTACTAATCCAAAGAAGTCTAATGGTTTTAAATTGCCTTCTTTCTCATAAATCAGAGTCTTGTTAACGATCAGCAGTCGGGCTCATGTACTAACCAGGACAGCCAATGCTATAATCACCAGCACAGGAATCTGCAGGAGCACCGGGATCTCCTTCATGAGGGCTTTAATGAATTCACCCGTTCCTTTTCCAATGTGCTTTAATGGTTCTGTCACAAAGTTCGTGAATGTAACGGCCAGGGCCTGAAACCAAAGACCAGAGCAACTTAACTCCAAAGACGAGACATCCACACGTGAAATGTCACTGTGCATAGAGCTCAAACGACACAAACTGAGATGCACGTGTTTATGTGTGCAAATGTGTGTTCTGAGAGCGGGTCTCTCCTACAGCTCAAACTAAGCCACCAGGCCTCGACCTCTGTCCTCCCACCTCTGCCTCCCAAGTGCCAGGATTGTAGGTGTGCCACCACGCCCAGCGAAATTTGAAAACCACTGTCTAATGGAAGTATTGTTTCCATAGGAGGAAGGTTTATTATGAACCCTGTCAATCCTTTATAAAGGCAAAGAATGTGTGATACTGTTATTATTACAAAATATAGTCTATACCTTTGTTGGCGGGACCAACCAAATAGGGTTGATTAATAAGAGCTCATAGTACTTTTGGCATGGGTCATCCTTATAGGTCCATGAACTTCTAAACCACTCTATGTAGAGAAACAGACAAAACAATTAAGAAAAACAAAGTTGCATTTCATTCACTATTAAGATTATTTTGGTTTTGATCATCCTTGCCCACCCACTAGTAAATTTTGAGTTGTTTTATATTTAAATAGACTCTCTGTAATGTTAATTATTTCATATCAAGTCCAAAATCATATTTTCAAAATCCATTCAAATTTGACAAATTTTATGAAGACAAAAAAATAATCTTAGATTTCCAAAGGGTAAATAATTTTTTATACACACAAATAAACATAAGTAAAACTGAGACATGTGAGTAAAACTAGTCGGTCGGTTAATATCCTGGCTCAATGGTGTATGTACTGTGGTAGCTGTATGAAATGTTGTAACTGGGGGAAAATACCTCCTAATCTAATGATCTGGGTAAATTTCACTTTAAAAAGTCCACCCTGACCAAGGTTTCCGGCAGACCAGTCTCCTGATTGTTCTGACGCAGCCTCTGCATGCCTGGAAACCGGCCTGCACTAGAGGCGCCCGCTGTCCCCTGAAGCCACGCTGAACTGGTTCAACCCCACAGCTGGAAAGGGGGACGGGCTGGACGGGCTCGGTGGTGGAGAGTACCAGTACTCAGGTCTCGCTAATACCAATGCAGGTCTCAGCGCCCATTAACTCCAGTCCAGCGCCCATTAACTCCAGTCCAGGGGATCCGATGCCTTCTTCTGAACTCTTTGGGCATCAGGCACACATGTGGTACACAAAAATACATGCAGGCAAAATACTAAACACATTAAATAAAAAATCTAAAGAAAAAATTTTTAAGTTAATTCTGGGACCTACTTGTAGAATCCACTGAGAATCTACCTGTGTCGGTCACTGCAGACTTGTGTTTAAAGTGTCTCTGAACAATAAACCATTCTAGTCTAGAATTCAACAGTTACAGTGCTCAACACTAGTGAGAATTTTTACAAAATCTGGAAAGATAAAAAGCAAACTTTCACTTAGTTAAAAAACAAAACTAAATTGTAGGAAAGCTATAAAATAATAGTTTATGTCAATCTAAGGAGATTAAAGCTTAAACAGCTCCTATTTGAGCTATACATTTACTCACTTTTAGTAAACTTCTGCTAAGGACCTAGAAAATGCTATGGGCCAGGTGATGAAAAGGGAGTCTGGGATCCTTCAGTCTACTGCAGGAGACTGAAGACATGCAAACCACAGGTACACAGCTGCTGCCTTTCCTGTGACCTGAGATGCGCTCAGTACGTCACTACTGTTGGAACTTAAGAATGTATGTTTTCTTGCTTTTGTTTTGTTTTTGAAAAAGGAATAAAACCTAGGGTGTTTCACAAGATGGGCAAGAGTCTAACACAGAACTATATCCCGTCCCTTTCATCTTGGGATCGGGTCTTGCTAAGCTGCTGAGCTCGCCTCAACTCGTGAGCCTCCGGAGTAGCTGGCTTGCTGCCCGTCTCTCCCCAGCCCTACCGCATGCACCCTGTCCACGTTCTTCTCACACAAAGACAGTCATGGGAAGACTCGTCTGGCATTCCATCATTTTGTCATTACTGGTGGATTTTGTTTTTTATCCCTCATTCTCAGAAATTCTACTTATAAATAAAAAATAAAAATGATAAATTACTTATAAGTGACAAATAAAAAAAAAAACCTTACCCCAGAGACTTCCAGTCCAATCCAGCTTCTCAACACACACATCATCCAATGGCGCCATCTTGGCAACGTTGGCCTGATGCTGAGCAAAAGCTACCTGACCAGAACGAAGAGAGATAAAGAAAGAAAGCCGACAGTGAAGGCCTGGCCTGCGCATCCCACAAGATTTATCCCAACACTTTCGCTATCATTTATACAAGCAAGACTTTAATGTTGCTTTTTGTAAAGCTTTTTAAATGTTTTGAGACCAGTTTCACTGGATGGCCTGAAACTCACTCTGTAGACCAGGCTGTCCTCCTGCCTCTGCCTCACTAAAGCTGGGATTAAAGACACATACCACTACATCCAGCCTACATTAAGAAAAACAACATTTGTAAGGACTGGTTATTTTCAGCTCATGGAAAAGTACTTTTTTTTTTTTTGAGACAAAGTCTTTTATATTCCAGGATGGCCTTACCATGGTAGCTGGAGATGACTCTGAACTCCTGATCCTCTTGCTTCTACCCCCAAGCACTGGGATTACAGGTGTGCATTACCACACCCAGCTAGAAAAGCAGTCTTTTTTCTTTTTAAAGATTTATGTATTTATTATGTACAGTGTTCTGCCTGCATGTATGCTTGGACACCAGAAGAGGGCACCAGATCCCATTATAGATGGTTGTGAGCCACCATGTGGTTGCTGGGAATTGAACTCAGGTCCTCTGGAAAAGCAGCCAGTGCTCTTAACCTCTGAGCCATCTCTCCAGCCCCAAAAAACAGTCTTAATTCAATAAAAAGGTTTAAAAAAATAGTAAATATAATGCCTCATACTAGCTTTGTACATAATTATGATGAAGGAAAACTTCTTTATGAGACTTTTTGTTGTTGCTGTTTTATAGGACAGGGTTTCTCTGTGTAGCCCTGGCTGTCCTGAAACTCACTCTGTAGACCAGGCTGGCCTCCACCTCACAGAGATCCACCTGCCTCTGCTTCCCAATGCCTCCCAAGTGATTAAAAGGCATTTGCCACCACTGCCTGGCAAGACTATTTTGAAAAGGAATTCAGATATAGTTCATGCCATGACTGAAAATATAAACAATTCAAGATAAAATGGTGTTTTCCTCTGGGTGGGTTTAACAGAAATGACTACTATCCAATAACGGGCTGAAAAGACTGCACAGGCATTAATCATGTCCAGCCATCTCCCCAGCACGTAAACTGTATTAGGTGTAAGGGACTCAGAGATGATTTCGAGTACTGAGAGGCTACACACAGCTTATATTCAAGTGCTACCCCAGAGGAGGGGTCTCCAGACCCATTCATCCCGGGGCAGGTGTACAGTTTTCATAAAACCACTTTCCCAGGGGGACTCACTAAAGTAACAAACACTCCACCAAGACCTATGTGCTAGTGTGTAAGAGATTTGTTTCAGGACCACAGGGTAAAGGAAATGTAACCCCGATCTCATCAGAAGAACTCAATGTCAGCAAGACTGAAATTAAAATGTCCCTTCAGGGATTATACTACTCTGTTAACAGTAGTCCTTTTAAATTTCTACAACCTTATGACAATTTTGAAAGATAATTAAGATGTCGGAAAAAAAATACCTCAAAAATATCAACAGGCCAGATGTTGTGGCATATGCTTCTAATCCCAGCACCTGCAAGGCAGGTAGAGCTGAGTTCAAGGCTAGCCTAGTCTATTATGGAGACCCTTTCTCAAAAAAGTGGATAAAAATTGAACAATGATTATTTCTAGGTACTAAGACTATAAGTCAGTTTTAAAAGTTAGTTGGCCTGTATCTTTGTTTTCTAATTTCTCTACAGTGAACATACCTAACTTTTATAATCAAAAGCCTAATTTTTAGAGTTAATATTTTCTATCATAATTTTGGTGTCATTTCTAATAGGATAAAAGCTCATTTCCCAAATTGAGTTTCTAAAACATGTCCATTTTGCTCTGTGATGGCCAACAGTAAGCAGGTGATAAAAAGTAGAACTACTTTTCCTCAGACCTCCTAAACCACATGTGGCTGATAATTACCAATTTATTTATTCCCACTACTGATAATCCAATCACTGTCTTCAACCATATCTGAGGCAAGACTGCTCTAAGTGTGGATAGTGGATTAGTCTCCAGTTACTATGAATTTACATTTAACTAAAAAACAAACAAAAAACAACAAGCCCCAAACTTAATACCTTATACAGATAGATCCAATTCCATCCCAAGCTGAAGAGAAAACTGATGATAAAAACTCGTCTCAGCTGCGTGTACCAGCGAACGTACGTCCACAACTCCGTAGCCACCAAGGCCACAATGCAGAGCAGACACAAGAGTACCTTAGAAACAGAATGGGAATCAGAGACATCGCTAAGTGTCTTCCCCACCAAAAAAACCCCAGAGACCAGTTTAAAAAAAAAAAAGGCTAGACTTGGCCAGGGAGGCAGCTCAGCAGGTTACTGCGCTCGCCATCAATCCTGATGAGTTGAGTTCAACCCCAGGACCCACACAGCAGAAACAGGGACTAAATCCCACAAGTTGTCCTCTGACCGCTGCACACACCCTCATACACACATAGTATGCACACCAAATGAATGAATGTCATTTTTAAACAGCCTTAGAAGAACCAGACTCAAACAGAATTCTTTGAACAACTTCACTGCTTATTCATCCTCTAATGAGGATCTAAGATCTCAACTGTGTTGGCATTTTGGAAGTATTTTCTCAACAGAAGCTTCTCATCTCATCTTACCATAAACACATTGTACGGGTCCACTCCAAAGGAGTCTTCAAATCGCCACTTCCATGCTGCTGAGTCATGACACTTAAAGTTGATTAAAATATCACTTAACGCATCATCCAAGGCGCCTGGCTTCCACTCTTCTCCACGGAGGAACTTCTGTATCTCCAGTAGTGTTTGTCTGGTAAGGAGAATCTCGGCATCGTAATGCATATCAACTTGGTTTTCATCAGGCTGCATCAGTTACCAAAGACAAACAACAGAAATATATTATTACATTATTCAACGAGACATTAAGTTTAAAAGGAGTTTGGGCCAAATATGATTTCACACACCTCCAATCCCAGCTCTCAGGAGGAGGATGCAAAGAACTTCAAGTTCAGGGTTAGCCTGGGCTACATACTGAGACCTTATCTCAAAAAATAAAAAACACTTTGGAACTCAATAAGGTGTAAATAGTTCTAGGTGCCAGCACGACTTAAAAAAAAAGTGTATTAATTCGTGATATTTCATAAGTATATTATATACTTCTCAGAGGTGAGCATGAAACCCAAATCCATGTAAAAAGCACTAAAAACATGGCCGACTTCTAAAACAAAGCTACCTTCACTAAGGCAGCAGTTGGTCTCTCTGTGTGAAGTACACGGGCTCTACAAAGCCACTGGAAAGTGCTGTCCCACAGTCCTACAAGAAACACAGGGTTAGGTGCCTGTGCACCCCTGGTCTCAACACCTGTCAACTGATCAGTGTGTAACTTTGTCTCTGTTGACACCTTAACTAGAAATATTGGTGACTCGTAACCACTGAACACATGGCCAACAGTCCTGTAATTCATCTGGATGAAGTTTGTATGACATGTTTTTTTTTCTGTGGGGCACGTCATGGGCTGCTTGCATTAGGGACAGTATGTGGTACTTCACATCTGGGAGCCATTCCAAATGATGAAATTACCTTAAATAAAGAAATCCCTCCCTACCCTGAAGTGTGGAAATTGTAGCATGTAATAGGCCACACTAAACTGCAGGAATAAAAACATAATCTGCAGTACTGGACCTGAAACAAAGTGGCCAAGCTTTGTTGCCTTACCCTGCCTTAGCAAACCCAGGACCTTGCACATGCTAGGCCATAGTGTTACCACTGGGCAGTAACCTTAGCTCCGATTTTCCATTCCTTCATCCATCATCCATCCATCCATTCATTCATTCTCCAGCACTGGCTCATGTACAATGACCACAGAAACAGCTCAAGTAGGGATGGTGAGACGGCCCAGTGGAAAAGCGCTTGCTCTGCAAGGACAAGAGCCTGAGTTCAGATCCAGCATCCACATTAAAGCCAGCTGTGGCGGTGCAAACCCGCAGTCTTACCCGGGACGTGAGACAGGACCCTGGGGCCTGCTGGCCGGCTAGTCGTGCCCAACTGCTGAGCTCCAGCTCAGTTAGAGACTTCGCCTCAGAAAACAGGGTGGAGAATGACTGAGGACGACACCCCAAACTGATCTCTGGCCTTCCCATTGTGAACACACACACACACACACACACACACACACACACACACACTTTAAAAAATGAGCAATTTTTAAAAATCACCAAGTATTGATTTTGATGAGACAAATTTTAGTGAATAGATAAATTCACAGACATGAGAACTGCAAAGAATAAAGACAGACTGTATCTTTATGATTCCATTTATGAGTTCCATTTGCTGACACAATTTTCAGATAGCCTAAAACTTACAGTAAGTCAAATAAACATTTAAAAATTATTTAAAAAGAAAAATGTGTTTCCTTAAAAAAGAAAACACTATCTCTTTACTAGTGCAAGTTCACTCAGAGAAATCACTGTACGCAACTGACATTCATTGACCAGTTGATATATAATTTCGATTTTAGTTCGAGACAGAGTCTTGTTAAGAAACCCAGAATGGTGCAGGGCGGTGGTGGCGCACACCTTTAATCCCAGCACTTGGGAGGCAGAGGCAGGCGGATCTTTGTGAGTTCGAGGCCAGCCTGGTCTACAGAGCGAGAGCCAAGAAAGGCGCAAAGCTACACAGAGAAACTCTGTCTCAAAAAAAAAAAAAAAAAAAAAAGAAACCCAGAATGGCCTCCAACCAGTGTTCCCCTGCTTTAGCCTCCTGAGCACAGGGATTACAGGCGTGTGCCAGGACACCCAGGTTTTATAGTCTGAATGTCCAATGTCGCCCAACGGTCCATGTGCTAAGGGCTTGAAGCCCAGGGCACCACTATAGGGATATGGTCGGACCTTTAGGAGGTAGGACTCAGTGGGAGGAAGTTAGGAACATGTCCCTGAGAGGAATTATGGGTCCAGTGCTCCTCTCTCCGTTCCTTTTGCTTCCTAGCCATGACATGAATAAGTACAACCCACCACATGCTTCTAGCCATGAACATCTGCCACGCCTACTGAAGGCCAAGTCTCGGACTGGAGTGTCCAGAGTCACAAGCCAAACAAACTTCTCTCTTTGTTGTTGTTGTTGTTGTTTTAGATTTTTGTTTGTTTTCTGTTTTTGAGACAGGGTATCCCAGACTGGCCTTGAACTTGCTATGTAGCCATGGATGACTTTGAAATTCTGATCCTCCTGCTTCTACCTCCTGAATTCGGGGATTGCAGGCATGCAAGCCAATGCCTGGTTTATGGGGTGCTAAGGATGGAAGCCAAGGCTTTGTATAAGCCAGGCAAACACTATGAACTCAGGGGCCTTTCTTTGTTAACTATCTCAGGTGTTTTGTTATACTGAGAAAAGACTGCCTAATACTACAAATAGGAATCTCCTGTGCTCGCTCTGGCTGCCCATATTATTACAATTGGAGTGATGGAGAGATTTCTACAAACCTTGCAAAAGGATGACATGCCTATTTCCGATCTTTATGGACCACATAGGATTTTGTCGCAAAAACAAACAAGAAGTTAAACCTGTGGCCTGCTTTTGATGGCTGGAAGGCATGGCCAGATCAAACAAAAGTCTGTCTCCGACCCCTAGACCAATGCTGGTGACATTAACCAAAATACCCTCATGGGTCTACAAATGAGCTTTGAATACACTTCTCAGCTTCTGGCTAAGATGAGTGTAAAAATGAGCTTTATAAGTATAACATAAAATGCAAAATTATAAGTTTTCATCACGTCTTGATTCCCCAAACTGAAACAATGATTCTAAAAAAGATGAAATAATGTACAAACAAACAAATATATAGAAAACTGGAGCTAGGGTTACTGCCGGGTGGTAACACTATGTATGACCTAGCATGTGCAAGGCCCTGGGTTTGCTCTCCAGCACCGCAAAACAATACCAGGAACTCTCACCACCATAACTAACACATGTGCATGATCTACAATCCACAAAGAAGGACCTACCACAATAAACAGCAAAGAGAAAGAGTACTTAGAACACATTTTTCTTGTCCTCAAATGGTGACTCTATACTTTATGGCTATAAAGTATGGGAACAGGGAAATGAGAAGAAGGGTTACAACAGGATTATCTATCTCCCCATCTCCTCAGGTCCACTAGTCGACCCCAGTGGAGCTGATGGAGCTAGTCCTCAGGGCGCAGGGAAAACAGCATGGTCTGCCCTGCTCACCTTCCCCCGGCACCACTGTGATGCTGGCTGGTTCCTACAGTCTCGTATAACAGCTTTTAGGAAAAGGCGAAGCAGCTTATTTTCTGTTAAAGCACAGTGAAGCTTATTACTTCACTTTTTTTTTTTGTTTTGATACAGGCTGGGCCAGAACTTGGAAATTCTCCTGCCTCAACCTCCTGAGTGCTAACATGACAGATGTGTGTCACATGCATGGCACAACTTCTTATATTATGTGAAACAAATACTCAGAGTATCTACTACAATAAATAGTATCATGTCATCAAACACTTACAAGTCCAAGCTTGCCGGCTTCAATTAAAATCTTATTTAAGTATCTCCTAAAAACAGGATTACTTTGACTTTCATAATCTTTCATTTTCTTCTTTTCACAGTCATCAACCTGTAATCAGACAATAAAGTCAGTAGCATTAAAGACTAATGAGAAGGTCAAGTTCTAGTGCTGTGAAATATTATTTTAAGATGTGTTACATTCATTTGTGCTGTGGAACATTTGTTTAATGATGCAAAGATGGGCTGCATTCTTTTAGGGTGCATTTGTTTAACTCTGTGAAGCTGTGTTACTGTGTCTGTCTAGAACACCTGATGGTCTAATAAAGAGCTGAGGAGCCAACAGCGAGGCAGGAGAGGGGGATAGGTGGGGCTGCCAGGCAGAGGGAATAAATAGGACGAGAAATCTAGGCTTGAGAAAAAAAAAAAAAAGAGAAAAGGAGGAGAGGAGAACGCCAGAGGCCAGCCATGGAGTAAGAAGGAAAGAAAGACATATAGAATAAAGAAAGGTAAAAGCCCAGAAGCAAAATGTAGTTAAAAAGAAATGAGATAATTTAAGTTAGAAAAGCTGGCTAGAAACAAGCCAAGCTAAGGCTGGGCATTCAAAAGAAAGAATAAGTCTCCCCTGCTGGGCGGTGGTGGCGCACGCCTTTAATCCAGCACTCGGGAGGCAGAGCCAGGCGGATCTCTGTGAGTTCGAGGCCAGCCTGGGCTACCAAGTGAGCTCCAGGAAAGGCGCAAAGCAACACAGAGAAACCCTGTCTCGAGAAAAAAAAAAAAAAGAATAAGTCTCCTGTATTTGTGATGATACTGTGTTCCCCAATATATTGTGCACCCTAATAAACTTATCTGGGGTCAGAGAACAGAACAGCCATAGATAGAGAGGCCAGAAAATGGTAACACTCACACCTTTAATCCTAGCATTCTGAAGGCAGAGATCCGTCTGGATCTGAGTTCAAAGCCACACTGGAAACAGCCAGGCATAGTGACACATGCCTTTAATCCCAGGAAGTGACAGCAGGAAGCAGAAAGGTAGGTAAGACGTGAGGACCAGGAACCAGAGCCTGGTTAAGCTCTTAGGCTTTTAGCAGCAGTTAGCTGAGATCCATTCAGATGACTCAGAGGCTTCCAGTTTGAGGAAATAAGATCAGCTGAGGAGTTGGTGAGGTGAGGTTAGCTATGGCTTGTTCTGCTTCTCTGATCTTTCAGAATTTACTCCAATAGCTGGCACTGAGTTTTTTATTAATAAGACCTTTTAAGGTTCATGCTACATGTACTTATTTGGGAGCTGGGTGGAGGGCCCCCAAAGAGTAAAAAAAAAAGCAAACCAAAACAACTACATTCTAGCTTGGTGATGCTCTCAGAATTAAGACAAACACCTGGTTGCTGTTTTTTGTTTGACAATGTATAGGATTTACTGTGCGTATGTCTAAAGAGCAAGTAAGCAAACAGAAGCCCCCGAGCTTGATCGGGACACAGGTGGACCTCAGTTAACACTCTTACTGTCTCACAGATGGACAGAGCTCCCATTCACTCTATCTACTCACTGCCCTTGTCCTCACCTATAGAAGATCCACGTCTATCTTTTCTCCTCATCCTCGTCACTGGGCTATTTGGACCGTCAGCACCTCTGCACCTCCTCAAGGACCACATGAAAACCTCCCTCCCCGGTCCAAGCTTTTCCATGCTGCAACCATGGAAACTGTCCACACAACCAACAGAGTGGTTAGCACAGTGACCAGAGGATACACTCCAATCCCTTAACATTCTATTCCCTTTCAGATAAACTCTGCATTTAAAAAAGAGAGAGAGAGCTGGGCAGTGGTGGCGCAGAGGGAGGTGGATCTCTGTGAGTTCCAGCCCAGCCTGGGCTACTAAGTGAGTTCCAGTACAAGCTGCAAAGCTACACAGAGAAACCTTGTCTCAAACAAAAAACAAAACAAAAAATTTCTTCAAGCTTGGAAAGAAGAGCTATCCTCACTAACTTGTAACCACCCTTTACATTTGGAGAACGGTTACAACCTTTAATAAGTCAACTGACTCATCTGCTCACCTGCTACATCATCAATGGCGCAGCAGTATGGCAGGTGACGACAATCATGATAAATCTATTCCTGTACCAACTTTATAATCTCACAAATAATTATAATAAATGTTATTACAAAAATAGTAAGTACTGTTTTTAAAAACAAGATGTAACTAAATTATATCGATAAAAATATTTAATTGTATAGAACACGGAAACATTACAAATAGAAAAATTAGCAAAGGCAAGAAAACAAGTAACTGTCTTAGTTAGGGTTACTATTGCTGTGATGAAACACCATGTCCAAAGCAACTTGTGGAGGAAAGGGTTTATTTTGTTCCATGTCACAGTTCATCACTGAAGAAGTCAGGGCAGGAACTCAAACAGGGCAGGAACCAGGAAGCAGGAGCTGATGCAGAGGCCATGGAGAGGTTCTACTTGCTGGTTTACTCTGCCTGCTTTCTTATAGAACCCAGGACCACCAGCCCGGGGTGGCACCACCCACAATGGGCTGGGTCCTCCCCATCAATCACTCATTAAGAAAATGCCCTACAGGCTTGCCTACAGCCCCATGTTATGGAGGCATTTTCTCAATTGAGGTTCCCTCCTCTCAGATGACCTCAGCTTGTGTCAAGTTGACATAAAACTAGCCAGCACGATAACTTAAAATAAGTAATATTTAATTTGTGAATGGAAAAATAATCAAACCTTGTGAGTCAAAGAATCAAGTCTGTGCAAACAGTCTGATAATTCCTCGGCATTTGACAAGTCAGGGTTCACTTCCGTTTTCTCAGATGTACCATATTTCACCTAAATCAAAGCAGAGATTTTATTCTTTATGCTTGAGTTGTAAAAACAGGTTCCAGTGAATAAAGACTACAAGCTTGACTATCGTTTTATGACTTTGCTTCTTAAATTCTTCACTTGCATCAAATCACCAAGAAGTAAGAATCAACTATACACGCTAAGAACCAAAACTAAACAGGCTCTCTCCTCGATGGGCATTACATCCAAATCCAAACAGAAATAACCAGATGGGTGAGTGCTTGTCTATCATCGTAAGGCCCTAGGTCCAGGCCCCAGCATGGAAGGGGAAAAGTATCAAGAAAATACCTTGCACAACTGCTAATCATTTACAAAACACAACAGAACTGGACTATTCCCACCATGGTGGATAGGGTCTTACCAGTGCACTTAAAGAATAAATACCTGAGATTTTCTCATTGTTCCTGAAGCGGCATCATAATTAAGCATATCTGTGGGGTCAATCCAGTCATCATCATGAGCATAACCAGTTATTGGCAAAAGACATCCACAAAGGAGCAGCAAATACAGCATCCTGAACGAGGCTCTTAAGAAAGCAATGAAATACTAGTTTTTACATAGTTGTTAGGTTAACAAAAATTAACTCCTTCAAGAGTTAACACTTTCTGGATAAAGAACACAAAGAATGTACATGAAGTTAAAAAACAAACCAGTAAAATGTCTTGGGGTGTAGCTCAGTTAAAAGCACTTGACTAGCAAGTACAAGGCCCTGGGTTCAATTCCCAGCACCTCATAAACCAGGCATTATAGCTCACCTGTAATCCTCACACTTAGGAGGTAGATGCAGGAGGATCCGAAGTTTAAGGATCCTTAGCTACATACTGACTTGGAGACCAGCCTGGGATGCATGATGCAGTCTTTGTTAAAAACGCAATAAAATGGTATTCACATCTAAATGCATATGCATTTAGTGGTCTCATTAAAATATAGGCAATTTTTACATGGCACCGTCAATTCCCATCAACCACAAGGTGGCTCACAACCATCTATCTCTAATGGGATCTGATGCCCTCTTCTGGCATTCAGGCATACATGCAGGCAGAGCACTCATACATAAAATACATAAATAACTAAAAAATTTAAATAAGTCTTGTCAGAAAAAGTCAGGCAACAAAAGCCAAGAGGCCCCAGAAGAAACCAAGCAGGACACACCTTCATCCAATTAATTAGGTCTACTCTGGAGACAGAAAAACTGAATAACTGTCTTATTTCTAAAAAAGAAGAAGAAACAGCCTTCAAAGAACTACATGCAGAAGAACGTGGGGACTTAACTAGAGGAAGAGGCAAGAAAGAAAAAAAAAAAGCAAAGTGAAGACACCGAGAAAAGGGCTGGAGAGATGGCTCAGTGGTTAGAAGCACTGGCACCCACATGGTTCCCAGGGATCTGACTCCTTCTTCTGTCCTCAGCAGGTACAGCATGCACAAGGTGCACATGGTACACAGACATGCATGCAGGCAAAACACCCATAAACACTGAAAATTAAAAAAAGGGAATTAAAAAAAAAAGACACCAAGGAGGGGCTTAGTTGAAAGAAACAAATATTAGTCATATTCAGCATTTCAAAGAAATTCAGTAAAGCCTGAGAAAAAGTCATTGGATGAGTTAATTCATTGACCATTTACTAAAAATTAGGGAAAGACCTAATTCTAAAGAGTTAAGAAGTAGGTGAGAGTATATAAACTGAACTGAGGCTCTGAGAAGATGGGAGTTTATAAAATCAATGTTCAGGAAAGGTACCCTGTATCCCTTCTTCATTAATAGCACGAATGAGAAGGAAGACAAACTTTTTCAAATAAACAAGGGAGGTTAGGGTGGAGGTAGTGGAGATTTAGAAACCAAAGCAGAGGGTACTATACGAAGGAAGGTGACTGGAAGCCTGCCAGCCATCTTTCTCCAATAATGGCCAGCAGGTGCAGAGTTAACCAAGACTACAGAATGATTAAAATGATGGGAGACCAGAGGGTCAGATGCCACCGCAGAACGAGCTGGGAAATCAAAAAAGATGGGGAGGAGTATGAAAGAAAACACAGACTCAGATGGGAATCCAAGCCCTCCTGTCAGAGTCCTGTGCTCATTAACTTAAGGCTAGAACTCTTTGAAGAAAAAAAAAAAATAGAACCGATCTCGCACTTCTTCCAAAGCTGCATCTAGACCTGCTGCAAGCTTATTTTTAAAGGAAATTTCTGACCTAGGGCTAGCTTGAGCTGCATAAAGAGACTGGCTCAAAAAACAAAACACCATCAAAAAACATCGTATGTTGTTTAGTTTATCGAAAGAACATGTGTTACTCTACGACTTGTCAGTGGACTTGTCTGTTTCTACCGCTTTTACCATCTTCTTTTTGGTTTTTCGAAACTGTTTCTCTGTGTAGCCCTAGCTGTCCTGGAACTCACTCAGTAGACTAGGCTGGCCTTGAACTCAGAGATCCGCCTCCGGAGTGCTAGGGCTAAAGACCACCGCCCGGCTGAGAATTTGCATTTCTAATGTGTGCCCAGACGACGCGGGGAATCACGTGTCTGGGCACACATTAGAAATACTTCAGTGTCACGGAGAAAGCCTGACTTGTTTTCAAACCCAATCATAAACACACACGCTTACGCCCTCTCCGAACTTTATAAACTCAAATTAGACTTGGAGTTTTAGATCATTAACAAATATATATATATATATACTTTCTAGCAGCCAATAGTTGTTGCAGATTATGCCTAGTTTTCAGGGAAAAAAAAAGAAAAAAAACACGAGCAAGAAGCTCTTTCCCTAGGCCAGGCCGCTCAGTATTCACAGGGCAACGGAAGGTGAGGCAGGGGAGTGACTGGCGGGAGCTATCTGCCCGCGTTAACACTGAGCAGGGGCTCGCCACAGGCCCAGGCCCCGACGCCGGCCCGGCGCCTCCCGCACCGCCTCCCACGCAGCCCCCGCGGGTCACCCCGACACACCGGAGCGCGCCCACTCACTTCGACGGTCACCCTGCCCGCCCAGAGCGACGGCGGCCAGCCCGGACGCGGAAGACGCCGGGCCGCCTACCTCTGACGCCGTGCGCGCGCGCCGGGCTCCAGCGCCGACTCATCGACTCGCTCGGCCCGCGGCTGTGCGGCCTTCCCGCGCGCGCCGCTGATTGGCTGAGCCGCGGGGGCGGGGCCGGGGCCGGGCGGGGGCGGGACTCGCTCCTCGGCTCTGAAGTTCGGGCTTTTTTTCAATTACCCAACCACCAATTCAGTTCGAGGGATCTGTCGGAAGGATCTCTTCAAGTGCGTTAAAGGGATACAAAGTACATTTTCTTACTATTAGCTGGTTTTTATGTGTTCGACCGTATAGGGTTTGCAATAAAACCAAGTCTACTTCGAGCATAATTTTCTTAAGATTTATTTGACATGCATTGTTTTGCCTGCATGTATGTGAGAGAGAGCCAGACAGGTCCTCTGGAACTGGAGTTACAGACAGTTGTGAGCTGCCTTGTGGGTGCTGGGAATTGAACCTGGGTCCTCTGGAAGAGCAACCAGTGCTATTAATCGTTGGGCCGAATCTCCGGCCCCAAGCATAATTTTCTTAAGTGGAAGGTAATGAATAACTGTAGTACAACATTGAGGCCGGCAAATGGGAGTTGGCACACTATAGAGCATTTGGATGTAAGGTTTGTGTAGCCGGAGGGCTTCTCTCCAGGTTCCCCAAGCCCCGCAGTCCCACAATCCACATATAAAATAATCACTCAGACGCTTATATCACTTATAAACTGTATGGCCGTGGCAGGCTTCTAGCTAACTGTTCTTTTATCTTAAATTAACCCATTTTTATAAATCTATACCTTGCCACGTGGCTGGTGGCTTCTCAGCGTCT